TGCCCGGGAACAGCAGCAGCAGGCTGCGTGCCTGGTGGGCTGGTGTGGGCAGGCCGCAGAGTCCGAGCATTGCAGGGGTCCTTCACCGAGAGGTTGAGGGGCAGGTCCTGTGGTTCCGGGAAGCCCAGGCCGTCTGCCTGGTTCCCAGGCCCGTGAACAGCTGCGGGGGTCTCCGACTTCTTGGAGAGGTTGAGGGGGCCTCCCCTGGAGCCGTCTGCCGGGCCTGAAGTCGCTGGCTCCTTCATGAGGGAGGTGCTTCCCATCTGGGCGGGGGGGTCTCCGCTCCTGGCGTCAAGGCTGCAAGAGGCCAAGAGAAAGCTTAGCGGGAGCGTGCCCAGAGAGTGACCACGTGCAGCATTTTGAGCTTAGTGAGCAAAGTAAGAACCATTACCCTGGAGCTTTGGAAAACGGTGGTCTCTTACCTTTCAGGAGATTCCGCATTGTGCACAGGGCCCTGGGAAAGTGGGCATCCCACACCGGTCTGGACCAGCTGGGAGGCCGTGGGGCTGTCCTCGGGCTGGTGGAGGCTGCCTGGGGCGCTGAAGGCCGGCTTGCTGGAGAGGTCGCACAGGCCCTCACACGTGTGGCTCGTCTGCATCAAGTTGGTGGGACTTGGCCTTCCCGGGGAGCCTGTGGCGGCGCTGCCTGCCCGGGGGCTCATTTTGGCCCCGTCGGTGTCCCTCTGCCCATCCTTGGAAGGACCGTCGGCCTCAGGAGTTGGACTTCCTTTCTCGAGCTCTGCGTGCTTCCTGTGGGAAGTGGAAGGGCTGACCCTGGAAGGACTTGAGGCCGGGAAGACCAGGGCGGCTTCTTCGAGCTGGTGACTGCTCTGGTCTCGTGTGACGCCTGCCGGTGGGAGCCGGAGGCTGTAGGAGGCAAAGGCAGACTCGGGCCTGTAAAACCCATAGGGGATGGGCAGGCTGGAGTGGTAGTGCTGCAGGAGCCGGTAGTGGTCGTATGTGGAGGGCGGTGCGTTCAGGTGCTTAGGGATGGGTCCAGGGTGAGGCAGGAAGTGCCTCTGGTCTTGGGCTCCATAGACGGACAGCAGGGTGGGGTCCCTCTCGGCGGCGTTCCCAGCCAGCAGGTAGGGGGAGTAGATGGTGGCCAGCCCGTGGTCTGCGTAGAAGTGGGGCGGGTACTCAGAGACTGCGGGGTGCACGTAAGCAGAAAGGGCACCGAACCCCTTGGCAGGAGGAACCTTGTGTGGAAACTCGGCTGGGAGGAAGGGCGAGCCGGCTTTCCAGGGGTAGCCGGGCGCGTGGAACGCCGACTTGGCGTGGAAAGCCGTGGCTTTGGTGGGGGGGCTGCTCAAGCCTGGCATCTCTGGTGACTCAGCACTTCCTGGCCCTTTAAGTCTGTGCTCTCTGACCGGGACAAACGCAGAGGGCCGGGCCGCGTCCAGGGCCGGCTGGGTGCTGAGGGTGGCGTCTGTAGCGGGACTCACGGGTGCGGCCTCTTTGTGGAGGGCTGGCCTTGGACCTGGGCCCTTGTGGGGGCCCCGCGCTGGCAGCTCCAGGCCCTCCTTGGCGGCTTCCTTGGCAAAACGGTGTTGGAGCTTTGGGTCAGCGCTGGGGAGGCCGTCCGTCGTGGGGGCGGCGTCCGACGAGCTCGACTTGGGGCACTTGGGAGCGCGATCTTGCTCTGACACCAACGTGATGGAGTTCTTGCAGAGCCCGTACTTCATGTGGTTGAAGAGGTGGGACTTCTCGTTGCACGTGAAGGGGCACTGGAAGCACTTGTACTTGAAGGGCTTCCCTGGAGGCCGGGGGATGTAGTGCGGCTTTTTAGGCTTCCGCTCTTTGAGAAGACTCATGTTCTTGTTTACGACCCTGTGCTCGAGCTTGGGACTGCCGTGCGACTCCCGTGTAACTCAGACTTGGTGGTTTTCCTAAGAGCGTGCCCCGCGTCTTTCCCTCCCAGCACGTCTATTTGAAGCCAGCCCCATGTGCCAAGGGCCTGACCAGGGAAGTCTTGCTCATCGGTGACCGGCAGCTGCGGAGGAGGAGCAGAGTTGTGGTCAGAGTGATGTCTAGCAGGTCCTCACTCGAGCCACCAAAGACAAGGCACAGAGCAAGGGATGCACCCAGGCCCTGCTCCATCCCCGAGTGGTGGGAGCCACAGGAGTAGCCCCTCTTGCAATCCGCGGCCACCCCCGAGGCAGCTGCGTCCTCAGTCCCACCTGCAGGACCCGTGGGGACAGAGAGGACTGGACAGTCTCGTGCCAGTTGTGGGGTACTTGTGATTCTTTGCCTTTGGGGGCCTTGCACCCCGCGGCCCGGACCTCTCCCCTGTGAGCACCTGCAGGGCTGAGATGGCTGGCCCCTCAGTCCAGTGCCATGGGCTTCCTGGGTCATGGCGTTGGGTGTGGCAGGGTGTTGCCTGTCTGCTCCCTATGTGACCTGTACCCAGGGTCACTGACGTGCCATTGCACGAGGCCTCGTGCTGCAGATGGAGGTGAGTGTGGCCGGGAGCTGCGCTCAGCCGGGGACCACAGGCTCAGCCGGGGACCACAGGCTCAGCCGGGGACCACAGGCTCAGCCAGGGACCACAGGCTCAGCCGGGGACCACAGGCTCAGCCGGGGGTCAGCGCGCTCAGCTGGGGGCCACGCTTGGGGGAGGGCTTGTGCTCAGCCAGGGGGCCGTGCGCTCAGCAGGGCTCGGGGGGCCACGGCCCTGCCTGCCATGCTCTCCTTAAACACGCTGCTCCACCCCTGCCCTGC